CAACTCACCATGTGAAACAAAAGTGAATGAATATTAAACAACAAAAAAGAAGCCTCAGTAGCCCCGGTTAAGCTGCAAACCGGTTAATCCACCCCCAGATAATCGAGAGTTGACTGTACCAGGAATTTTCCGTGGGGGTAAAGGGCAGCTGGCATGTAAGATTGATAACCTTACTGCCACCTATGAGCCAACTGTCTAGACGTGAAAGCCTTGACCTCTCACACCTCTATGGGCCTTCACGGCCTGTTACAGGACAGCTTTACCTTTACCTATACATCTGCTCCCCATACATCTTCAAGGTGTAGTGCTTAATTAGTTCAGCATAGGAAAAATGTTACCTTTATGTCCTATGAGCTTTTACTTCTAATACTAACACCTGTACTGAGTCACATTTCTAGTCTATTTTATCACACTGGGGTGTAATGCACTGAAAACAATTCACAGTTTACTAATTTGGACTAAAGTTTTAAAGTTTGCTTTAATAATGATATATCTTCAGAGTATCAATTGCTGACTCCCTAAATGGAACAGCCTGCCTGCCTTTCTGTGTTATCATGACTGCATGAAGTGTGTTATGAAAGAACTACTAATGATGGTTTTCTGAAGCACACAAATTCTTAGAAGCAAAGAACAGCACGTTATCTTGAATGTGTGTTTTGTATTAAAAGTGAGATTCCCCCATTAAAAAAAGATTGGTGCAAAGGTATATGTTCTCACATATAGCTAATGGGTCAGAGCCTTTACTGCCTTAAAATATTATTTCACAAAATTATCTATTTTAAGCATGAATAATTTAAATGATTAAAATTTAATTAACATGAATAATTAAAATGGTTGAAGTTTAATCAAAATTTGTCATGCAGTTTTGAGAAAATTTATATCTTCCATTTGGGATGCTACAGAGCATACCATTATTTTCCTGAAGATATCACCTATGCAGTTTCATTTAGGGAAATGGTCTCCAAACATTATAGAAACAAAATCAAAGTTGTTAAAGCTGCCTTTGAGAAAATCAAAATTTTGTGCTTGGGGGCTCCTATTTTTGGAGTTAAAACATTCATATTCACTAGACATCTGTGATCTGAACATGAATAGGTGTGCAAAGTTTAGCCTACAGACTATACAAGGACTTGCCACGTTTACCAAAGTGCTCAGTAAAACAGGAACTGATAATAGTTCCATTATGTACAAGTCTGCACATAATCTGGGACTAAAGCATGGATAATTATGCATGCCCTATTTTCATATTTCGTACATCATACTTTTCCTGCATTTCCATTTGCCTATTTGAAATCACTTTTTCAGCATTCATAGCAACAGATAATCTACTCTGTATCTCCCAAATGCAAATCGAACATATTCCTGCTCAGACCAAAGGGGTCCTGAATATAAAATAATCCAGAGCTATCATCATACTTTGTAAATGTGCATGATCCTTACCAATAAGTGCTATATCTAGTTGAAAGTAATGCAGTAATAATACACAAAACTATTATAAATGATTTGTGTGATAAGAAATCACTGTATATTCAAAACGGTTACAGATAGAACTATGAAACAACTTGAAAAGAGCATGAAAACTCATTAAGTTTTCATTGGTAACAGTGATTGTAACATAACAGCCATGAGTGGCACTCCAATCGTTATAAAATGGCATCTCAAGTGTAAAAGTTTGGGACAGGCAAGCACGACCCATTCCTTAGCCCCCTAGATCCCCAGACCTTACTCCATATGATGTCTACCTATGGGGATAAGTGGAAGACCATGCATACCAACCTCAGGTGCCACAGTCCCTATGAGAGCTTTTACAGTGAATAACGCAGGCTATTGGCAATGATGAGTCACAGTTAAGGCATACATGGATAAAATTCCAATATCACACTGATATTTGCAGAGTAACTAATGGAGCATATTTCAATTATCTCTAGATAAATCTACCTTATTTCCATGCCATTTTCAAGTTGCTTCATGTGTGTATCTGTAACCATTTAAAAAATGCACTAATTTATTACCACCCAAACATTTATAACAGCCCTGATTTGTATCTGTAGTGGTGTTAATTACCAGCATGTTACCATGATGCATGTCTTTGCTTTGTATCACTTTCATCTCCTGTGCACATAAAAGAGGTGCACAGTGTACTGATATTACTTGCTCCACAAGGCTCGCTACTTTTGGCTCCAGTTCACTCCACCACTGCCGCACCAATGCCGGCAGTCTTTGCAAAGCACTGCAGTACACCTTACAACACAGATCTGAATATCAAACGATGTGGCAAAAGCAAAAGCGATACACAGATAGTTTAGAATATATCACAGCCACTTCCGTGATGCACACACTCCTTGCCTTTATGGAACATGATTTAATTACCATGTTCACAAAAGCCTATCACTGACCAAATCCTGAGTCAGTTGAATCTAATCCATACCCTCAAACCCTATTTGTCTACTGTTTTCAACTAGTAAAAGTTATGAAATTCCTCATTACATAATTTTCTCAATTCTGTTTCTTCCTCTTCCTTAGGTCCGATTATTCTCGTCTGTACTTTGTTCTCTAGCATCTTCAAACTATTCCTCTTATGATGAGAATTCAAGTTCCATACACACACAAAATTGGTAAAATTATAGTGTTGTACGAGGGTAAGTCAATAAGTAAGTTACAAATGGATATAGAACTTAAACAAATAAGAGTACTGATTTGAAAAATGTTTTTATTTTTCAACATAATCTCCCTGTACATTGAGGCACTTGCCCCATTGTTTCAGAAGCCCCTGAAAACCAGCAGCATATAATTCTTTGGGCTGCTGTCGGAACCACACGGCATGGCCTACCTCATAATGCATGACAGGAAAGGTTTTCATAAAGTATGTGCACAATGGGTGCTGCGCATGCTGACCCACAACACAAAATGCAAAGAATGGGTCTGGCATTACAGCATGTCAGTCGCTACCATGATGGACACGATATGCTAGCCTGAACTGTCACAGATCTTGGGTTCATCATTACCAGGCAAGACAAAGCATGCGTCAATGTAGTGGAAACATCCTAAGTCGCCTGCCAAAAAAAAAGTTTAAAGTGACACCATCCTCCACAGGAAAGCGATGCTCACATTCTTCTGGGATTACGAAGGCATACTGCTCACCGCAGTCCAGCCTCAAGGACAAACCATAAATGTCGACTCCTACTGTACCATCCTCAGGAAACTTTGTAAGGCCATTCAACGGAAGAATGCAACCTGTCATGCATTATGAGGTAGGCCATGCCGTGTAAACACGCCTGGTTCCGACAGCAGCCCAAAGAATTGTATGCTGCTGGTTTTTAGGGGGTTGTGAAACAATGGGACAAGTGCCTCAATGTACAGGGAGATTATGTTGAGAAATAAAAGCATTTTTCAAATCAGTACTCTTATTTATTTAAGTTCTATATCCATTTGTAACTTACTTACTGACTTACCTACGTATATCTTCATCTGCATGGTTAGAGATAGAACTCAGGGTCATCAGGCATTCTGAATAGCACTGTACAGACATTTCACAAATTTAATAAGGAGTTCATGATTTATTAGAAGCCTGCACAAATCCCATGTGCCAGGTCACCATGGCACCTACAATTTTCATGATGGAGCTTAGAATTTTCTTCGGTTATATTACTACTAATGTATGACACGGTAAGATGGTCAAAATTCTTTCTTTCTTCCTTTCTTTTATTCCTTTCACATCTTTATATCTTTATCTACTTCCTTCCTTTCTCCCATCCCTTCTAATTGTCTGTCTTGTCATCATTCCTCTCCCCCTTCTTTCCTCCTTCACATTAAAACAGTTTCCTCACCCCAACCTTTCATTCATTCATCTCCTTTCTCAAGTATGTCTTTCTTATCACTTTAATTGTCCATACAATCATCATTCCTCTTCCCATATCCTAGCAACAGTGTGTTGGGTTTTCCCCACGTGTGAAAGGAAGTGGATGAACATTTCAATTGCTTTTTGTTAACAAAAATGAATAAATTTCTCACACAAGATATTTTGTGCTTTATTCTTATTCCTAGTTTTTGGAGGTGGTTCCTAGATTTGTAGGAAGTCTGTGTAGGCCTGATTATGTATGTTAATATGCAAGTGCTTGTTCCAGATTCCTTAACCTTTACTGGCCAAGCATTACACTGTGATGGCATGAGGACAGTTCAGCTAGCCTAATGTCACATTTTTACAATACAAATATCATTGTTGCCAGCATTTACAGTAACAAAATCCCCCATTCCCAGACAATAATGGTTAATATTAGGATAATTTCAGAACTGTGCTAAGCTTACCCAGCAAGACATATACTCCAACATCTCACTGCTGTATGCCTGGGAAAATGCCAGAGATGGAGGTGAAGTGAACATTTCTGACGCCTTATGAACTTTATATTTAGGGTCTGTTCCCTGTAACACTTGTACAGGCATCAGTCGAAACACATTTTGAAGTAGACTCCTTAAGAAACCTGAGTTCCTGCAATTATTTCATACATAATGAGGAAATTTCCTT